ATTTTAACTGTGATTATCTTCTCCATTCCAAAGCAGAGCAATTCACCCAGTGCTGGGAGCCCTCCCCAAAGTTCCAGATGCCCTGGCACTGCCCACAGCCTCCAGTTACCATGTTCATTCCCTGCAAGTCCTTTTGCAAGGACATTTATTATGGTTGTGATGTCCAGCACCTGCTGCCCATTACAGCTGTGTCCGCAACAGAGGGAGCTGTGCCCCCAGTGGAGGCACAGCCCAATTTCGGACCACTTTCTTACTCCCTCCAATTTTCTAGCCCTTGGCAATGCTCTGGGCAACATACTGCTCAGGTCTAATGGACACCCAAAGGTGCTGGGGACAGAGGAGAAGCCTGCTTGGATTTACATTTCTCTTGGCACCCACTTAGCTGTGCCAGGCATGGTCTGTGCCTTGTCAGGAAGCTCTCATGTCAGCCCCTGTGCCATTAAGTGCCCAGGGGAGAGGGAGATTGCAGTTTTTTGCTGGGGCTAATATCGCAAGCAGTGCAATACCCTCAGCCACGCTGAGCTGGGAAGATTAGGGCTTCAGTCTCCCCCCATCTCCTAGCAGCCAGTGTTTCAGCTGCTTTAGAGACTGATCCCAGTGCAGGCTCTGGTGTCACAGCACATTTGAGCTGCCTTCACCCGCATGCCCTTGAGAGTGACCCCTGCTTCCACCCCTGTGCCACCCCAATCCAGCCCAGGAGAGTGTCTTCTCCCACCTCTGCCACCTCCCCACGGTAACACGCCATCTGCCTGCACCCCAGCTCCAGCCACACAGCACCTTCCCAGGGCGCCTTTGCAGCCCCTTTTCAGGGGACTTTGGCACATAAACCTGCACTAAGTATGGCTGTTACCAGTATCTCCCCATCAAACCAGACACACCAAGAGCAGTGCCAGCCAAGGCCTGGGTACTGCTTCCTCTGGTGGCTCTTTACACCCAGGAAAACAAGTAGTCTGCCTTAGCTTTACCTTGCAGGCTATATTCCCTTTCTGCATTGCAATGCTCGGCCGGAGCCAGGCAGGCTGGGACCAGCACAGACAGAAATTCTCTCAGCATTTTAACCCGGGCAGCAACGTGGATCACAAGAGGCTTTCCCAGGGCTCATCAGAGGCAATGTCTGCTCTGTGTCCAGGCAGCCCCAGCACCCACGTTTACCACTGCTGTAAGGCCATGGGGTCATGAGAACTTGGACAACTTTATTGGGGTCTGACAAAGCCCTGAGGAATCCCAGAGTCAGGGTATGTTGGGGCTGGAGGCAGGCTGGGAGCCCACCTCTGTGCTCCCCGTGGGCTCTGGCCGTCTCCTCCCACTGAGCAGGGCTGTCTGGCACCCTCTGTAGAAAGGCTGGGGGGCAGGAAAGCTTGGAGTAGCCCAGGGCACTGGCAGAGGATGGGTAAGGATGTGGTTTGGCAGGGCAGTCTTCTTGGCTACCCTGCCAGCCCCCAAGCTGGGCTGGTAAAGGCCCCTGTGGGCTGGAACCCAGCACCCTGCTAGGGGTCCCTGAGGCAGGAGCAGTTCTGCAGCCTACTGGCCTCCAGATGAAGATATTCTGCAGGCATGCTAGAGGGGTGTCCCCTTCTTGCTTTGGGGAAGATGAGCCCTCCCCAGCTCTTCTCACCCCAGATATGCCCTTAAGCTGTGGGAGTCCAGCTGCCTCCAGTTACCCCAGGAAGGCAGCCAGGGGCCCCTGAAATGCTCCAGGTATGCCAAACCCAGGCTGCCCAAAACAGTCTGGGCTTGTGCCCCGGCAGAGCTGTGGCAGCCCTGGATCTCTCACCTCAAGTGGGGCAAGGCTAGCAGCTCTGCCTGCTCGAGGGCTGCGGGACTCACCCCAGCTGGGACCGGTGGCAGGACAGGGCTCAGGGGGCAGTAGGACACGGGAAGGCAGGGCAGCAAATCCCTGCCTGTGCTGGATGTGGCTGGGGATTCTGCAAGGAGGCAAAAGGAAAAGGGTTTTTCTCAAAACCTCTGCCATGCTGAGTGTGGCTTCCTTGCTAGAAAGCCAAAAATAGTCTCTTTAGAAAAGGCTATAGGAGGGATCTCACTCGAATTGCAGCCAAATACCTAAGAGGCCATGGGACAGACCCAGAGCAGCGTGGCTTCACCAAAGTGTTATCAGGCCTTGGAAAGGCGGTGGCTGTAGCTGAACCAGCCAAGAACTCCATTGCCTCTGGGCAACTCATCATACCAAAGGTACTGTAGGAACTGGGCCAGCAGGCACCCTGGAAGAGCTTAGGGAGCAGCTGCGTGCTGCCACAGCCAGCCCTTGGTCTGTGCTAGAGGTTCAGCTCAGGGGGTGGAGACAGCAGCAGGACAAGAGGGCTTTCCACTCTTTTGTGGCCCGGTCCACGGGATAGCCAGAAACCTCCTGGACGGCTCTGCTGTCCCTGTAGCACCAGATCCCTCACAGGCACCACCATCCCCTGCGGGGCTGCTGCCGCCTGCCCTGGACAACAGCCAGCTGCTGCTGGGTAAGCTGGCAAAGCGCCTGGAGACCAGAAAGGCCCTGCCCTTGCCAGGGGAGCACTCAGGCCAGTTGCTCACGTGGCAGCGTCTCTGTACTCTGCTGACTCATCATCTCCCTGTTCCTGGGGGTCTCGCTCACTCTTCCAGCACTTCCGTGGGCACTTATTCCTGGAAATATCCTGGAGTCAACTTCAGTCATGCCTTTGCCCACTGACATTTACAGAGCTTCCTCTGGTGGCTGATGGTTTTAACAGTGTGAATCTCTGCCCAGCTCCAGCCCGTATTTATGTCTTTCCCTCTGCGGGGTGTCTCATTGTCCCAGTGCCGGGTGAGGGCTAAAGGTGAATCTGCAGCTCCATCTGCCAAGGGCTTTCAGCTTCTGGACAGGGAGACCCATCCTGGCAGAGCCCATTTGTACTTGTCTAATGACCTGCCCGCCAAGCTAATCCTCCTCTGGTCTCTCCCAGCCATTTCTGCTTCTCAGATTTCTGCCTCTTGGGTGGAGGAGCCGCAGGGCTGCCAAATCTTGCAATACTCAGACTGTTTCTTAAAGCCCTAGCTCCTGAAATGGTGAGAAAACTGGGGGCTCCCACCTTCCAGTGGCTTTTGTTTCTTTAAGGAGTTTCTTGTCCTCCTGCTTGTGAAGAAGCAGCAGAAACCAGGAGCCTACAGCCCATGCCAGGGAGCAGAGGATGAGCACACAACTCGGGTGGACCCGGGCAGCAGAGCAATGGCTGTAGCCTCTCTGTGCTGGAGGGACACCCAGACCTCCAGGGCAGCTGTCAGAAATCCCATGGGCGGTCACTCAGCATCCATCACCCACCTTCAGGAACCAGGGCAAGAGAGAGGCTTAAAGGAACATTAGAGGTAGGCTGGGCTGGGGCAGGGCGTCTACCACCCAGCCCAGCAGTGTGTGGGTCCCTGCCCTTCAGCTCCACAGCAGTGCTGGGGCCTGATGCCCCCGAGCGCTGCACATCTCCCCTGCTCACCCAGCAGCCTTTCCAGCTGCAGCAGTGGTCTCCCCTTGCCACAGCCATCTGTGCAGGCTGGGCCAGGCCAGCAGGTTCTCTGGAGCAGCCCTGAGCTGACACAGATGCTCACCAGCAGCACATACCACAGCTGTGAGTGCATTTTCTCCAGGTGGGTATTCTGGGCACAGCACCATGGGACACATGCCCCTCCTGCAAGCACTGTGGGAGCGTCCCCAGAGCCAGGTGTCACCCACAGGCACCTGGCTCGAGGAACACGGAGCTCTGGTCTGGCAGGGTCATCACAACCAGGCAATACTTTGGTACTCAACATGTGACCCTGCGAGGCTGGTTCACGGGTCTAGAGTTTGGTGAGAACATAGAAGAAGTTGGCATCAAGGCAGCTAACAACACATTCAAAAAATAAGCTATTCTATCAAATATCATTAGATTGGAAAAAATAGTAGCACTTTGAGCAAGCATGTTGGCACAATTTTAACATGCTCATCATCAAGCTCATTTAATCACTCAAAATCGGAGGCAAAACCCCTGCTGAATGCCAAATCTCCTACGCAAGGTGCACAAAACTCTCCAGCCTTGCCCAGCACCAAAATTCCTTGTGCTGGCCCTGACACACACAGCCCAATACCTTCCTTGCCATACCTCCATTCAGAGCAGTTTAGAAGCATCCCAAGGACCCCTGGTCAGACTGAGGGTTTGGGACTGCCTGGCTTAGAAGCACAAACATCAGCTTCCAGTGGGTTCAGTCCACACCAGCAGCAGGCAATGGGCCATGAGCCAAACGGCATGGGGACCATGCTGCCAGGGTGGCCAGACCAGGGAGGTCCTCTCCTTCCACTGCCACCCCAGACCCTGTTTCCCTTCTCCCTCGGGCATCCATCAAAAGAGCTCAGCACTGGGCATGGTCAGAAAGGCACGGTGCTGGGAGCTGGGCCATGTGGGAGCAAGAAGGGGACATGAAAACAGAGCAGAACTGTTTTATTGGAGGTGTCAAGAGCAGGAACAATAACAAACCTACAGGCTCCCCTCCTCAAGTGCCATCCCCTCCTCTCCACCACCAGGGCAGTCAGCATCACGTGTGCGTGCTACAAGACAACGGCAAGGCTTACACTTTGCTTTAGCCAAAAGCCAGACAAAGCCCCCAGCATCCCAGGCAGTGCCGCCGCCACCTCCTTGGCGACCGTGAGCTCAGCTTGGACCTGCCAGAGGCAGGGCAGGACATTCACCATCCCCTCCGAGGAGGGGTGAGCTTTGCATGACAGGAGGTTTTGGTTAAGGGAAGGACAGGAGCACAGCTCCACCGAAGTGCCAAGAAATGTGACTGGTGCTGCAGCTCCCAGAGGGACGTCTCGGAGGACCCTGGAAGAGAGCAAGCCGAAAAAAAAACCGCGGAGGCAGCCCCCCCGCAGCCACAGGCAAAAAACGGCATCGCTAAATCCCAAAGGACTTTGCTGCCCCCTCTCTTCAACACAAACCAAAAGGGAGAGGGGCCAGAAGACAAACCAGGAGGGGAGGTGAAGCAGGTCTTGAGCGGCGTGTGGCTTCAGCTCACTTCCCAGCCCGCCGCTCCTTCCTGCGCTTGG